CATCAGCAAACGGATGAATTGTCCCCCATTTTTCTAGTGTGAACCTACACATTTTGGTACACAGAATGTTGGTAGATTGATTGGGTTCATGATATGCAAAATGTGGAAGAGTGATACTGTTTAGATAAAAATCTCTGAACATTCTGTCCAAAATTCAGACCTTATTTACTAAGATTCAATCACATACAGTGATTATTCTGAAATGATACATAGTGCTTTATTTTCACTAGACTTCTGTCTAGAACTAAAAAGAATGAGTGACAAAAATGGTGGTTACTCTGACGTAAGCAGCAGAACAAATGGCAACCCACTTACTGGAATGACTCATTCCATTCAGTTTTGCAGATTCAAAAAGATTTTGTAGTGTGAGTAAAATTCATGGAAGTAGAATTATTTAGCTGAATTGGGTACCCATCAAAATCAGTTTAACTTGGATAATTCTTAAATTATTAAAAGTTAGACATATTAACAAAAATTAAAAGATCAAGACTTTGCATGTATGTTGCTTCTTTTATAGTAAATATTAGATAATCTTATCTGTGGAAAATACTGTTGGCTTGGGTGAACTTATTTTAGGCTCAATATAAAATCAAGATGGTCAACACAAGACACAAATTTAGTCATCTTCAAGTACATCATGACTTATTAGTAGCAGTCTAAATAATGTTTAAATAAAATTTAAATAATGTTTAAATAAAAAATTATGTATTTATTCAAAGTGATATGAATAATAGAAATACTTATGTAATTCACAGATTTAAAAAAAAAATAGCTAATGATTTCACAGCTGTGGATTTCCAATAGTAAAATATCTTCTGTTCATCTTGTTATATGGAATTGCTTGGAAGTACTTTTAGAAGAGTGTTTTTTAAAAATTCAAATATGCTTTTGTTCTGGGTAAATGTTCATTCATTTAAATAGCTAGTCTAGCAAGAACTTCATACCAAGAAGGAAAAAAGACAGAAAAATGCAAACAAAATGTAGGAAGTCAGAAACATATTCAAGGTACAAATATTTTTTGGGTTAATTTTTTTAAAGTTTGAAAAAAGAATAAAATCCATTCACTTTATTAATAAAGGGACCCTTTTTTTGTTTTTCTTGGCTCTTCTGAGCCATTCACATGTGAGTTTCAGAATCACTACAAATTCAGATTTCTGTATTTCTACCACTGTTGTGTATGCTGAAATACCTTCTAGAGTTTAAAGAATTGTCAGGACTGCCGATATGTATTGGGTATTTTTTTCAGTTTGAAAGCGATTTAGCAAGGAAATTTACCTCCCTGATTATTTGAATAAAGGCTGACACCAGACTTAGCTATGATATGAGTAGTTCTAGACTTTATTCTACATTAGTTCATATTCAAGTTCCATTTTAGTTCCAATGTATTATTTCACTGCTTATTTTTCAAAGATTCATATGCTTGCCAATTAATATAATAAATATATTCTATCTTATTCACACAGTTGTGTATTAACACTATCAATATATTCCTTTTCAGCAGATGATGGCAAACATATCATTCCTTTTCAAATTACTATCTGTGAAAGGTTTCTTTAATTATAACTTTTAAATAAGCTCTTGGTAATAACAATAACCAGCTAAATGAAACATTCCTGTTCTTTAGCTTCAAAATTGTCTCTCAGCTGGCTTGCATGTACTGTATGAGTCAGATTTAAAAAAAAAAAAAAAAATATAGATGTGCAGTTTCTTTGACTCGGGCTATACAGCATATGATTGAAGTAAAGAACATCATCTGCTTTGTTCACCAGGGAGTTTTATTATTATTATTTCTCTCTGGTCTTCTACTTTTCTGCTCCTCCAATAAGGCTAATTACAAAGCAAAAAAAGTTGAAACTGGTAGAGAGAGATCCTTTAAAGCCATTTCTTTTGCAGAATGGAACAAAAGAAAGTACCAAGGGCATGGATAGGCCTTGAAAAAAAAGAAAAGAGAAAAACCATCTAATGAGGATGCTGAGATAAGTGCTTGTGAAGAAAACTGGCAAAAAAGGGCTTTTAGTCTAAAATCCATAAATAAGTGGGCATTAGATGGGTACTAGAACATTTTTAACAAGAGAGGCCACCAAACTGTATCATCCTATGCAAGAGCTACTACCCTAAAACTCTTCTTAACAAGAAAAGGGTATTTTTCTTTGAAATATTAATTTGAAAAAGATATACTTGAAAATTAAGGAGTATTATTCACATCTGTGAATCCATTATAGGGGAAGACACCATCAAAGCTGCTTTAGATATAATTATGAATGCTGTAGATTTTCTAAAGGTCAAAGATCCTAAACGGTATGAAGAATTGTTCGCAGCATATCATGGTTCAGACAGGGTTTGACCTCCAGTCTCTCTTTGGGTCTTCTAGTGTGTGCTGAAGAAGAAGCATGCACAGCATCAACTACAGAAGAGTTTAAGAATCAAATCATTTGCCCATCCTCCAAACCTGTTTCTTAATACTCCCGGGTAATTGGGCACTCAGACGTGCTTGATATCCATAGATGTTCGGGTCAGGTGTTGGAGGCTCGGTCTAATTACCAGAGAATGACTGCCAGCTAAGCATTGTCCATTTCAGCTCTCAGTGCTGCTCTTGTAACACATAAAGGAGAAAAACAAATCTGAAAGGGAGAGAAGATAAAAGGACAGAGAAAAATAAACTATAGGACCTGATCCAAAGACTGTAGAAGTTAATGGAAAGTCCCATTAGCTTCGGTGAGGTTTATATTAATCTCGTTTTTTAACAAGACTGGCAGTTCTTTATCCCATCATGCATTAGATCTCCTTTCACCCATGTGTACCAGAAAGTTTGCATTTAGTACCAGTGATCTGATCTTGAACATGTTCTGACAAACTAATGAAATCAGTTGGGAAATTATTTGATTTAACTTTGGGTTTTTTAGAAGTTTCTCTTAATATGAAACTTTAAGGGCTTTGAAAAAAGGTTTCAGTACAACAGCAGTAGTCTCCAAAATAATGTAATGATAATAACAACAACAACAGCAACAACAATTTGTAAATCCCATGGCTAAAAATCTGATGTTTACACTTTGGAGCATTTTGATTGTGAATTTAAAAATTTATTTTAAACAGATTTATTAACTGTTTCTTAAACATGTGGTACACGATACTGTTCCTTTCTTGCTCACTTTTAGTCACACTTCTGGCACGTGTTCTGTGCTACAGATGGACCAAGTAAATACACATGTATCTAGTGATCAGGTGTTTGAACTTGATTGCCAGCTAGCAGCTTTTGGTGTGAGAGAGGATTCACCCACAGGTGTCCTACACTCAGGAGAGTAAATTTTTGGCACTAACTTTTCACAGCAGGTTACCTGTGTAGCTGGTAGTCATTGGCCATTTTATGTCACTTGCTGCAGACTTTCCTAGATTCTGTGTGGCTGATGAACAAATATACCAAGATACTTCCAAATGGTTTGGTATATGTCCCTCAATTATCAAATTTTATTTACTATGGTTCACAATTTGACTTATTGAGTAGTGAAGCTGAACTAATATATTGGGTGGTTTTCTTTGTATCAATGATTTTCTTTTTTCATCAGGGATTTTCCTGAACCATCACTCATAAAACTGATGTTTTACAAGCTTTTGGTAGTCTAGATATTATGATAATGTCTTTTTCATGCAGATTAATAAACCAGATACAGCTGCAGACAAGATGGTAGGCGGTTTTTTTGCGCCTGATTCAAGCTAGAGAGATAATAGTGTTGTTTTCTTGTCAGGCAGTATTTTATTTTGCTTTACTGCACACTCAGTGTCAGTGAAGCATCAGACATAATTCCATAATTAAGTTCTATTGATACTTGCTTTAAAAGCAAAATTATAATCCTTCTGTTTCACACATTAAAGACTGAGTTCAGTCTCTGAATAATGCTGTAACTCTTCAGAGGACACTCGAATTTTCTTTATCACATTTTAAGAAAAATAATTACTGATTGCAGCAGAGAAAATTTATATAAATGCTTTCTTATTGAAATTTTTCACAGTTTTTTCACGTCTTTGAGTTCAATTAGCTAAATAACCACAATTCCCACAAACTGCAAACTTCATAGACTATATAAAATAGTGTCTTTGATACACTGAGTATCTTGAAACAAGTATCTGGCTAGATATAATAATATATACATTGATGGAAGGTGGTATCAGTGAATAGTGTATTTGCATGCTTCTCACACTGAGAAATTTCAAACTTGTGATAGAGCCCTCCCTTCACCCCTGTATTTAAATGTCAGCTGTTTTTAGACAAACCAGACAGAAGATAAATAATTAGAGAGTTAATATTTTTTTAGAGGAAGGGGAAAATTCTCTTTTTATTAATCTTTCATATAAACAAGCTGGACTATAAATTGTCATCCTTACCTAGAGCAAGTTTAGCTAGTTCAATGCAGAAAAATATCTTGTTTTGTTTCATGAAGATGCCAAGGAAGGGGCTTTCTAACTGGAAATGAGCTTCTAACAACAATAGAACATGTCAGATACATGTCTGCAGAGAAAAAATCGATAACAGAAAATGAATACTTTTCCAAAATATTTCACTTCTGTAAAAATATGTGAAAAATGAGGATATATGATATTAAAACATACAACGAAGTTGTTGTTTAAATCAGAATGCAAATTTCTTCAACTTGATCACAAGGAAAAATGATGGTATGGGCCATTCCTTTAAGAGTTGGACTCTATGATCCTTCTGGGTCTCTTCCAACTCAGGCTGTTCTGTGATTCTGTGATTCTGATATGAGGTTGAATGAATGAGTGATAAAAGTGGCCTTGCTGGCAGCTTGGTTTAATTCTTAGCTCTAGCCTGCCTGGTTAATGGAACACAGTTGTGGAAACAAGCAGAAGTTCTCCAAGAGTAACAACCTAGACTGTGGTTAGTACTGTACTTTGTGCTTTCGTGGTAACTCAGATAGCAAGCTTACATATTTGAATTCAGAACCCTTAAGTGCCCACTGTTGGCTAACATTCAATCTCTTCTTTAGAACAAAACAACTGGTTCCCAGCAAGAAAGCTTCAACTGGAAATGCAGAACATACGGAAGAGCTGCCTACACCTTTGTGGTTCTCTTAAGACTTGAAAAGGTGGGTCAGTAAATCTGTCACAGGCCTTCTGAAGGCTATCATGCAAGTCTCAGGAGTCTGCCTAGATCTAGACAAGTACAGAAGTGTCCTGGCTGGAGCTGTACTTAGGCCTATCAAGATGAGAGTAAAGAGCAAAGAAATTCTGTTTCTTGTAACTTCAGGGGTGTTGGCTTCAAGGCAGGGGAGCTGCTTACATCTCAGACTTTATCAGCTCAAAAATATTTATGCAGTTTGCTTGTGCAGGGAGTTCAGTCCTGACTGAGCCAGTAAGATTCTCACAGAGCGTGCTGGGAGATGATAAGATGTGTGAAATGCACAAGAATCACTTCAAGTTTAATCCTGAAAAGGCCTCTCATTGCTGAGTGCAAAAGCAAATGAGCCAACAAGCCTCTCAAAGTGAGTTGAATGCAATGGGCATCAGTAATGAGTGAATGTGGGATGACAGTGGGGACACAAATGGCTTTAGCCATCTGTCTTTGGGACCTTAAATCTGGCAGCTGAGAGCAGATAGACACACCCATAAAATGCTCCAAAAAGATGTAAGATTATTAGCCACCTCTCTTTTGGTGGTGCAACAGATTTACAATGGTAAACTGGAACAGATTCATTGTGTCCAGGCATAAAGAAAATCTAAATATATAGTGTGTTGCAATCATAGAGTTGCATTTAAAGATGAATCTGCTGCATTCTAGTTTTTCTTACTAGAAGGATCTAACTTGCATAGTCTATATAATATTATTAGCACCTATCTATTAAGACACTTGCAGGTTTATTGCACAATCTAAAATAAGCAGAATTTTTACATTCTAAGTTTCACATTTTAGTTGCTGTTAAAGGACTGCAATAAACACTGCTTTACTTGCATTAAGACTGATGTCTAAAACAGCAAAAGGAAAAAAAAAAGAGGGAACAAGTCTAAGACTGAGTGGCAAAATGAAAGAAAGTGGAAGACTTTCCGCCTGTACTGCAAGGCTTCAGTCATCACTGCAGTTGAATCTCTGCATCTTGAAGAAGTTGATTGTGATGAGGTATTCAGACCTAGGGGTGCTTTACTTTTTTTAACTGACTGTGCAGCTAAATCTGCAAACATCATTTGTGGAGGCAAACTGTGTCTGTGTACACATGCTGTTGTACCAGAGGTATGGATAACTACACAGCTCTTGTAGTAACTGAAACCAGGAACCAGGGATACAGAAACTGTTTCTTGAATGGTATTTGGCTTGAAGACTCCCGGAGTCACAGTTCTTAGGTACAGCACTTCATACTGAAAATATATCTTCCAAGTATAATAGTACTGTTTTGTTTACAGGTATTCAAAATATGTACAGAATATATAGGGTAGATTTTTTCTTTATTCACAAGCTTACACGCACTATAGGGCCAAAAGCATATGTACATTTATATACTATGAAAGTGCAATTGGAGTCAGTGAATCACTGCTTATGCAGGCTAACATACCCAGCTGAGCTTCTATGCTTATGTATATTCAACCAAAGGTTTCAGAATATCATGATGTAAGAGATTTTCACTGACCATCCAAATATGCCTACTTTGAAAATAGAATTTGCATCAACATTAGCCAGTATGGTAGGACAGAAAGTGAAAGAAATGTCCTGTTCAGGAGGTCTGAAGAACTTCCCCTTTTGAAATTTACCATGTATTAATTATGTATGACATTTCAAGGAGTGAGAGTTGTTTGTAGCCTATGGCAATGAGTTACTGAAATGAGACAGAAGAAAATGTGTCAGCATATCAAATTACACAGATATTGGTAGTCTAGATGTTATTTGCTAGTTTGGAAAGCTATGTTTGATGTTGTGAAATTAAGGTACTGTGTGCTGGGTTTGGATGGCAGTACCACATTTCTCTTAAAATGACAATACTGAAGTAATTGGATAATGTAATTCCTATTGTAAATGTAATTCCTATCTTGTGGCAACACTGCAAAGAGAAACAGTAAATAAAATATATTCTTATAGCATATTCTGAAGGTAATAAAAAGTGATGATAGAAATACTAAAATACATTTCAACTCCCTCCCCCCTAAAAAAAACTTAGCAACCTCCTTCTCATTCAACAAAATAAGGGAAAAGTTTATTGAGGATTATATGATGTGTGTAAATATTTTGTTTTTCCACTTTTTTTTGGGAAGATATCTTTGTCTAATAGTGATTTTAGCTAAAATCACTACTAGACAAAGATACTTCTTCTACTACTAAAAATTCCAAAGGAGCTCCTCCTTCACATAGGAGAAGGATCCCCAGCATTCTGGAAATCAATTTTGGTTTCTATAAAATTTAATACTTCTCTATTTTACAGTATGTTGGATGTTACATACTGTATTAGCTTTATTTTTACAGTATGTTTGTTTGTTATTTTTATATATTTTGATCCCATGGAAAGAGAAACTGTCTTTCTCACAGCTGAAGACAAGCTGTTGAAATGGCTGCCAGCAGAATTCTGGCGTTAAAAGAAAAACAACAAAACCAACCAAAAACAAAGCAAAAAATATCTTGCAAACTGGAAGTAGTTGAACCAGTCACAAATCTTTTGACATTCCTCCTGTCCTACCCACTTGGGTGCCTGTCTCCTCAAATGTGAGGTTCATGAGTATTAACCAGCCAATTTACCAACATCTGAAGAAGATTTTCGTATAGGATCTCTGATTTTTTAAGGACATAAAAAGGACACATCCTTTTTTATATTGCTGCAATCTCCATTGTCCATTGTAGGGGAATCTGGATGGGAGTTTCTCAAAGCCTCAGGATCCACTGCTGCAGAGTGCAAGATGATCCATCCTTAGCCTGGGTAAACATTCTCATCTGTGCTGGTACACGTTGTTGATAAGGATTGCAGCCCATCTCAAGGTTAAATCAGATATTATCTAATCAGTCTATCTGTCATTATCTAATGGATTCAACATTCCAGTTTATCAAAATGTAAAAGCAATGGCATTATTTTAGCAAGCAAAAATTTAAGGTGGGAATAGCAGTTCCTACAATATGTGCCAACATTGACTAGAACATCTGCCTTAGTGTTTTCTTTTCACTGCTGCCCCTGTTTGGAGTTTTCTGGTTTGTGCTGCCCATATTCAGTACTGCAACAGCTTTATGTCCACTATTCTTATAGGAGACTTCAGAATTCATCTGAGAACACTAATAAATGTCATTCTTGTCAACCTAGTTTTTAGATTTTGTAGCATCTTCTAGCTCATGGTTCTCTTTTTTTTTTAAATATAAATTAATTTTAAGTAATTATAAGCATTTTAACAGTTTCCAAAGCACTTTTGTTTTGCAGGAGTGTGTTGTACTGGAGTATTTCTCATGGTTCAATACTCAGAATACAGGCTGTATGCAAGCTATGAGTGCTTTTAATTTCAATGACAGGTAGTACTTCACACTCAACAGAGGTTTTTCTCTTACATTTTGCTATGTTAATGCTCTTCCAGTCAATTATATATGTACTGAAGTATTCTCTTCTCCTTAGGTTTTACCATTTTATCCCTGTGCCTTCCATCAGTGTATTGAGCTGACTAACGTCTGTTGTGTTTGCTCTTGGACTCCAAAGAGGCAGCAGTGTGTTCAGTAAAGTGCCTTTATTTTGAGAAGGTTATATTAGGAAGCTCAGGAGTATCTACTCTAGCTTGAATAGGCAGACATGAGGTTTGTGATGGTCTGTTGTTCCCTAAGAAGTGGTGAAATGAAGAAGCATTTAATAATCTGCATCCTCTGTGCAAATAAAATGATCCTGATAGTTGAGATCGCCTCTGAGCCAAGCAGAAAACTCTTGTCAATTGTCATCTTCATGCGTGGGTATTAGGTCATCTTTCATACCAATAATCTTTGTGAGAGCAAGCGAATGCCCTCACTTTTGATATTCAGTGGCAAACCAGAACAAGAAGTGGAGAATAGGTTTAATGCACCTGGTGTATGGTAGCTGGGAAGAAATGCTGCAGTATTTTGTATTGTATGCAGTATGTTGTATTGGTAACCATGTGTGGACATCAAACCACATAGTTTATGGTATAGCTAGAGCAGTTTAACAACTACATGGTTAGTACTGTTTTGGGGAGCAGGTCATGATGGTTCAGCAGGATGGAGAAGTCACCTACCCAGATGAAGATAATGTTCAAAGGACTGGTAGACAAAAAAACTAGCATTAGCTCGCTATACCTAGCCTGTCAGTTGTACAATGCAAGTCATGAATTATGTGGTTGTACAGAGAGTGGTTTCTCTGTGATAGAAATGTTTATAAAGTGCACATTCTTTAATGCTGTTGGTTCTTGAAAACAACAGCAAAAATCTCTCTTCTATGTTTTTCTGTTCTAAAAGAAAATTTGAACACAATATGAGAGGAAAAGTGACACTTTGGGCATTTATACTGCATTCATCCTTATCATATGGAACTATTACTGTATTCTCTATTACATGTAAAAAATAAAAAAAAATAAAGCCTGGTTTTGATAAAAGTTAGCAAAATGTTAGCAAAATGTCTGTGAGGATTGTTTCTTAACAATGAAAAAAGAAAAATGGTTCTTGCTTACTTAAACTCCCTAGTCTTTTTTGTCTACAAGGACATGCATTTCTTCACTCTTGTTACCATGTCATCTTCCTCCTCAGTCCCTGTTAATGTCTTCTTCTGGTCTTATCCTGCTGTGACTGAGCATTACAAAATTTTTCACGCCTCCATGCGCAAGTCTATCAACCAATTAGTTTTCAGAGCACATGATACATATAGATGGCATGGCAGTGGGTTCAGACCTAGGTCAACATACTCCCAGCTTTTAGTCAATATGAAAAAGGTATAGGTCTACATTATCAGTGGTATCGATTTAGAGAGAGGATTGTTCATTTTTGCTTCTTTTTCAAACTTACTTCCAGCTGTGATCACCACTGTTATTCCGATTTTTGTCTCAACAGTCACCACAGAATTTCTCACTGTGACAAACACTAATTTTAAACAGGCACCTGAAATCTATCAAAGTATGAGTCTCATAGTGACTCTTGATGGAGGTTTGTTGCACATCTTGCATATCCATCCAGTAAGATATCCAGTTTTTGCATCTAATTACCTTCTGTTTTCCTTTGAAAAAATTTGAAGACTTGTTGGTGAGGACTTTTGAGGAAAGTCTGCCTCCAAAATACATCTTGCTTGTAAACTAATGTAGAACATAATGTGTAACGTATTTTAATTGAAGCAAAAGTCAGATTTTCAAAGTCTGAATTGAAATAATCAGGGATCAATTATTATCAATTTTGTTTAATGGAGATTGAAACAAATATGACATCCTCTAACTAGAATGGACTGATCTTGGTATTTTGATGGAGGTAATGTATCACTTCATAAATACACTGAGGGTTTAGAATCAAGTCTATCTCAGCAGAAGAAAGGGAAATGCTTTTCAGAAATATGTTTTCTGCAACTTTAGGAGACAGGGAAAAGCTTTTCTGCTGGTTGCTCTTTTATTTTATAGTAAAGAGGAACTTTATACCTCCACAGTCTCTTTAATTTTATTGAGTATGCTAGAGCATAAATCTGCGTCTGTGAACTACCTCCTTCATATATTAACTTGATTGTTCTTTCTTGTAGAATTTCCTTTTTGTCATTATAACTAAAATGAGAAATATGCCTAGTAGTTTAAAACAAATACACCTTTATGTTATTGTAAAGTTTAGATAATAGAAAATTAGATGGTACTTACTGTAGTAAAAGCAACATAAAACTAGAAGCATTATGGTAATGAAGAGGGGTGTTCACAATTAGAAGCTACTGCCAATTTGTTCTATATATTTTCATTTTCTCCATTCTTTTTCTGTTATAAGTGAGATTACAAGATCACCTGTAATCAATGGGATTGAGATTATTTATATTAATTTTGATGAAAAAAAATCCAGTAACTGGGATATACTGATATCAAAGCCACCTAGGGAAGATAAAAATACTATGTTTATTATATTTTTGCTTTATTTTTACCTATACAATAATTAAGCTCTAATGATGATAATGTCCCACTATCACTTATTTCAGTGGCAACAGAAGTTAGATTGGCCCTTCACTGCATACCATGAGTCAAAAGAGTAGGTCTGCAAATTTTCACATTCCAAAATCACATGAAATCAACTGATTTCCATCTTTTCTAGACAAATAGTCTCTGCTGCTTCTACTCCCTTTGATGGAGTTGGAGCTATTATAATTCCACATAATACCCTGAGTAACTGTATTGTAATGCAGCACACATTTTAAAATAGTTCTGATACTGTCAAAAAAGATAATGTTTTTTGTATCTTTTTCTACAGGAATGTTGATTATCAGTGACTGTGGTAAACCAAGGTTGGTAAAATATGTATTCTTTTGCAAGTTTAAAAAAATGGCTACCCAAGATAAAATTCTCGATCTATACTTGGGCATTCAAAAACTTATTTTATATCTTAGGAGTAATAATTTCTCTAGGCAAGGTAAATGGGAAACCAGCAGTGCTAATTATGAATCTTCCTGACTGAGTCGTTCAGTATCAAATGCAGGTGTTTAGCTTCAGACAGCAAGCAAAACTGAAAAAAAAAGATGTCTTGTTTCTTTGTTTAGCACCAACTGTATTCTGCTTTGCCTAATCCCCAAATCCACTAAGCTGGATAGTTGTTACCAGTCATCTCCAGTCTGTGTGAACATAGCTAATTTCTTCTTTTTGACTAAAACAGGTGAATTTTGCCCAAAGATGTACAAAAAGCCCCCTATGGAATTGTGACCTAGATGGGCTGTCATTGTGGGAAAGGTGGTCTAGAGACGGGTCACTAAAGCCTTTTTTCTTTTTAGTTCATTTGAACTATTGACCTTGTGAAAATATTCAGCTTTCTGTGTGTTGGGGTTTTTTTTTGTTGAGATGGGTTTTGGTGAGCTTTGAAACATGTATGATCAGACCCAGCTTATCTGTGAGGCTACTGCGTTTTCTAACTCGCAGTGCTGGAAAACACACCGATCTTGGGAAATCAAGCTAATGTCTCTCAGCTGTGCAGAAGAAGTGTGAACAGCTCTGTCAAATGAGCTACCCCCATCTCCTTTTTTTCAGGCAGCATCTTATACTGGAGCAGTCACTTCACATTTGCCATTTGAGCAGTTGTGATATAACTGCTGTTTTATTGCCTATAGGAGAGTTTCTGTGAGGAATCAGAAGCTGGTCTTTCAGCTTCCCTGGCCAGGAAAGGTTTTAGTCACAGGACTCCATTACTGGTGAATGCATAAGGAGTCCTGACAGGATTACGAGAGAATATGAACACACAGCTCTGGCCTAAAGGTTGCTAATTGACCAAATGGTAATACGAGGGGAAGTATTTTCCAGCCTTGAACCCCTGCCCCCAGATAAGTATATTAAATGCCATCAGTTAACCCCTTGAGTGCAATGACCCAGTGCTGCCAGGGACACTCCTGGTGTGATAGGCCCTTACGTGTCCTAATCAGTGGTGATGTATCAAGTAGAGTCTTAGGTCCAGATGAGTTCCTTTGTTGGATGGAAAGATGTCTCTAGTCTTGCAAAAGTTTAAACACAAAATTTAAAGTGCACAGTTACAGTGGCTTAAAAACACATGAAAATTGTGTAGCAAAAGAACAGTCAGGAAGGAAAATAGAACAATATAAAGTGAAAAACATAATCAAAGTAATTTTTCTTCAGAACTGAGTTTGGTTTTTAAAATTTGTTTTATTGGATTTTTCCTGTTTTCTCTAGATAGTTTCTGAAGAGTGAATGTGCTTAGTTGTCTTCAGCTTGGTTCCTTCCTGCACTTATTCTCAGGTCATGAGCTGAAAAATATCAAAGCTATTATGTCAAGTGAATTTATGACCAGTAAGTTACTCTTCATAAAAGAAAGCAGTTCTATAAGTTATGTTCTATATCCAGTTCTGTAAGGTATGTTTTCTTTCCTTTTTTTTTCTGTGGCATTATTCACTGAATTTCCAGGCGGAATATTTCTGTTGTTAAGATGGTGTCTTCTAAATCAGTGTTTTTCTGTAGTAAAAACAGTTAAGTTCTTAAGTTAAGTACAATTTATGTGTACAGAAAGCAACAGTCTAAATTTCACTTCTGTTGTCTTCAAAGACGTTTAAAGTTAAATTGTCCATTAAGGGAGGTTATTACTGCCCTTCTAATTTAGAAAATATTGGGATCTTCTTTGTGCTTACATTATGCAGGACTTCACCTCTTGACTGATTTCGCTGAAATTAGTGGGGTTACTCGTGTAATATGGTACCAGTCAGAAGATATATCAATGGCAGACTCAGCCATGTGGAAGTTGTAGTTATTTCACAAAGGTTTTGTATTTACTGGCATAGAGGTATTTATCTATGTTTTTCAATGTGATGACTAATTCTTTCATTTACTGTGGCTATCTTGCAAATTATGTATATTTGGCCACCAGAAACCATCTCCCATTGCCTTGAGGCACCTCACATTGTTGCATTAATGGATGAAAAATTACATTTGCCATTTCATAATTTGTGTCTTTTTTTTTTTTTCATGGTTTAGCATCAAGTCTGATAAACTTAGAAATCAGTAACTCCTAAGCTGTGTTGTTGACTCTTGGATGTTAAATGTGTTACACAGGCTTAATCAAAAGTAACACTTCCTGTTGGATCTATTAAAAGAGCCAAGTGCTGATTTTTCAGGCCAGAGAACAGAGCTAGAAGGCAAAAGTCCTCCTGAGATATGATGATGAGACATTGTACGTTTGAGTGTTGCTTTTGATCATGAGCTAGTACATTAATGGATATGGCATTGCCTTTTAAAGAAGGACACTGCAAACTGTAAGGAGGAGAGGGAGATACTCATGCTGTGCATTACACAGCAGTGCACAGCAGCAGTTCTATAGCATGGGAGGCTTTTTAACCTTTCCTTTTAAAAATCCCTCTTTCAAAGGCAGCAGTCATTCCTTTATTGATCATGTGGTTCTACATTAACCAAGGTTAGAAGAGGCTGTTCATCTAGCTGACTCTGCACCCGGTGTTGCCAGCATCCACTCTCTGACTACAATCTGAGATGAGGCTTCCTACAAACACTAGTTGCCAATCTGGCAGGTGATGTTCTAGGAGAGGTTTCTCTCATATACTTGGGCTCAAACTAAAAGGCATCATGAACTTGAGTGTTTCTTCTGTGTGGATATTGGACAAGTTTGGATATGAGTGTTTGGGGGAGCTATACTGCCCAGTTTTCTGCCTGTGATCTCTTCTGGTGTGTTACAACTTTGTACACATGCTCATAAGAAGTTTTATCCTGCCTGTAACAGCTGAGGTGGCTGGGAATCCCCAGTTGAGTTTTCACCAGGTGCAGGTCAGTTGCCACATTATATAGATGTGTGCCCATCCCTTACAAAATGCCATGCTGGTACCACATAAAAACTGGGTATCCCATCTCAAGAGAATAATTATGCTTATGTTTCACTGTCTGTTTTGCTTACAATACCCTGCTTTACAAGTGCAGGTCTATGAGATCCATGGTTCCCTGCCGTAAACCTGTTTGCAGTGGTTGGATTTGAGACATGCTAATAATGCAAATGAATGCTATCACAATACTAGTATCCATGTGTAATGTTTCTTGAAGTGCAACCTCTTAAAAAGGTGTGTTTTGTGTCTGGAGTGCTAATAATATTCATGTTAATCCTGTCTTTAATGTACTTTTTCTGTTTAGGGAGGAATCATCACTTCAAATGTAATTGATGCAACTGGTAGGGTGGGCATTTTCCAGGAGGAAAAAAATTGTTCTCTTTTTAGAATGTCAAGCTTTAGATTGAACCAGTTCTAGATTTGTCTTCCATAACCTGAGCTCCAGAACCACACAAGAGCTGCCTTCCCCAGTGTACAAGTACTACCAAGATCCTCTTCATGAGGCATCAGAGCCAGCCAGTCAGAAGTCATACTTTTTATATTTGTCTTAATTTGGTTTGGTTTCTGAATTATAATAAATTTAATTAGATTGTAGTCACTTGACCCTCAGGGGCTCAATTCTAATTTGTTCCTGCTGCCTGATAACTGGTTAACTAGGTCTAGACATGAACCATTCCTGGCAGGGTTCTCTACACATTAGCTTAAGTAGCCATCATTTTTTGTATCCATCACCTTTGCCTTCATTCAATCACACCTCTAAGGTTTCCCCAATTATAAAAGAGGTAGAAATTCCCCATATAAAATTGCCCTTTGCCATGTATGCCATCTTTATCCCATCACATAATACATATCATTCTGGACTCTGTTGTTTCTCCTGGGGGTAGTGTGGCTTGTGCCATTCCATGGGCTTGCAGAATTTATGTGCATATACTTGCACTAACTGCAGAGCTCTTTTCCATCACTAGTTTGCAATTCATTAACAGAAAGTCCCATCAAGCAGTGGGTAGACAACATATAAATTCAGCAAGTTGCATGAAACAGGGCATCTGTGTGGTGTGGTAGACCATGATCTGCAAGACAAAGATGACAGTGTAAATTCAACTAAGATTAGATCCCAGAGAACCCACAAAGATTATGTTATTTAGTAAGACCTATCACAAAAGAAGCTTTAATTACTGAGTATATGCAAAGAAAAACCAGGAGACATCAGTTCTACTTTTCCTGGAATTACCCTTTTTTCTTTTTTTATAAATACTATGTCTTACTATTCCAAATAAAGTTGTGTGGATGATCAGTAAAGAGTACTATCCCCAGCTTTACTGAAGATTTCATTACTTAGAAAGTAGCTTAAAAGATGACTTAAAATGTGAAAGAGTATTTTGTCTACTTTTTAATCCTTCTTGTTAAAAATATTGTTCAAGAAGGAAATACTTGACTACTGGGTCCAGTCCTTCCTAACAGTGGAAATCCCACTGTGTAATCCTTTTAAGTAACTGGCCAAGTTCCACATGCAGAATAGCAGTGTTTCTTGCCATGCATCTTGCTTGCTCTAAACTGGGCACACTTGATGCATTACCAAGTCTAGTTGATACAGTGAAATAAACACCATTTAGTAAGGTGTAAAACTGGTTCATGTTTGCTGCTAATGCCTATTTAACCCAAACAATTAAGAGGAATGTTTGCTGTTACAGTTCTCTCCACATTTCATCTCTTCATTTCAGGGCTGAAGCTTAGTCATGGGAAATGATTAGAAAAACTGAAGTTACAGGCATAGTTTCAAGGCATAAACCAAACACTCAAAAATATAAAAACTGTATGTATAATGTGGCAAAAATAAGAGAGGAAGTTACAGTGGAGATTGAAAGAATAAGGGGAAAGAAAATGTTTCCCAGTCAGTTGAGACATAATATGATAGAACTATCACAGTTTATTTTTTTTCCTGTCCAGAAATCCCTACACCTACAAAAAAAATCCATACTTTAAAAATTGTTTCTTACTTCAATAATATTTTATGCTTTTGTGTCACACAAGATGAGTTTAATTTTTCTGATATATTTTATTGCTTCCTCTACCAAATGTAATTAGTGAGCATGAAGTGCTTTGCTTTTTTTTTTCCTCATTGAGTGAACAGTTGAAAAAAAAAGCATTCCTGTTTCTCCTAGAACAGTCTGATTTCATTGCCTTAATTAGTGTTATTCCTAATTTATGAGGGTTAATGTATTTATTTTCTGATAGTTTATAATAGAAATTAACACAGTAACTGCCATTCACTATATTTCATATGTCTAATTATGAAGTAAGAAAATAACTTTGCTATCCAACCACTTAAATCATTGAGAAACCTTTCTTCCTGTTCTCTCTTTTTTTCTTTTCAGTTGTCTCTCCTCACTAATTTTAAATCTGCTAGACTCAGATTTCATCACGTGTCTCATCTGGCTGTTCCCTGTTTCTCTTATTAATTTGACCAATTTTTTCCTGATTTTCCAGGTTTCTGTAAACACATTTCCAAGCATACACAATTGAAAACTGTGAAATATCAAGTTCTGGTTAGTTTGTATAATCATGAGTTGGCAGTAGTTTTGTGTTCCCTTGAACAAATGAATCAAATTGTCTCAGCAAAAATCAAGTGATTCCTGAATGACTAGTTGTAGTAGAAGGATGAAATAGTCTGCATAAGGAAAGACAAAATAGAGTTAAACACTAAAATTTTGTCTGGAAGCTTTCAGAAGCCTTGTTAGTAGGTCTAATACCATATAATAGAAGCCAAAAGGTTCCTGGACATTTTTTAACTCTTCCTTAAATGTAACTCTCATTCAATGATCAACACAAGAAACTATAGTTGCTCTGGGCTGCCATTGAACAACATCTAAAAATGTTATGAATGGTATTCCAAAACATTTAACCTTTAAAACTTTAACCTTTAATTTATTTTCAAATAAAAACTATTAATTTGTGCAGTGATATCAGATGTAGATGATTTCTACAAAGAAATTGACTGTCATGTCACCTAGCACTCTTAAGCCTGCTCATTCATTTATTACTCCCTTCAAAGCCAAAGAAAACCAAAAAAATAAAGAAACACTAGGAAAAACCTTGAGGGAATGAGGGACTATTTATATCACAAGACCCAATCTCATAATTCCTTGCATGTATTGTGATTCTTAAAAGTGCAAGTAGACCTACAGGGCTATAATTTACAGGATTTATCAAATAACATTTTCCAAATATGTCTTTTCAGTGACCCTCAGTTCTTTGAGAAAATAATAGAGTACATTGTCTGTATTAGCAATGTATTTCTTTCTCTTCATTTAGCTTTATCAAGAATTGTCACGCATTATAGTTTGGTGACAGTGCTAGAAAAAAGTGAAGACAGAACTGACCTCTCATAGCATTTTTGTGACCATGGGGCTCACACGAGCAGCTTGGCATCTGCCGGCACATCTTTAGCGAGTTGGCAGCCCCAGCGCC